ATGCTTCAGTGTGTGTGGTGAGGTGCCTGTCTCCAGGAAGGGCACTTAGCTATCCCGGGACTGCCCCTTGGGCTGTGATAAGGGGGCAGCCAGGGCTATACAGATACTCTGTAAAGTTTGCAGCAAGCATGTGATGAATTGCTTCTGGATAAAAAGCCTTCAGAGCATAAATGAGAGCTATTGCCTGTCCCTCCACGCCTTCCAGCAGGTCTCTGTACTCTCTGTGCCAGCCCTTCTCCTCATCTGCTCGTAAAGCTGCCGCTCTGGCCTTTCCTGCTCCTCTTTTCTCCTCTTACCTCCGCTGCTAGAGACCTCCAGGCTGTCCAATTCAGCTGCCCTGGCTCAGTGCCCCTCTTCCTGAACTGTGACTGGCATTAACCCAGGTGATGGCTCCCTCCTGTGTGACATACCTTCCTCTGCCTGTCCTCCTCCTCCACACTCCTCCCTCCCCCACCGCTAGGCCGTCTTGTGGTCCAGACCTCTGCTCTGTTTCCTCTCTTGCTCACTCCCTAGATGATCTTTCTAACCCCCAGGATTTGACTGTGATGACTTATAACTCCAGTTTTTTTAAAGTATATTTTATATGTATGTGTGTGTGTATCTCCCTGTCTAGCTACCTGCCTGTGCCAATGCTTAGTTGCAGCATGCAGATCTTTGATCTTTGTTGCAGCATGTGGGATCTTTAATTGTGGCATTTGAACTCTTGGCTGTGGCAGGGAGGATCTAGTTTCCCTGACCTGGGATGGAACCTGGGTCCCCTCCATGGAGAGTGTGGAGTCTTAGCCACTGGACCACTGGAGACATCCCATACCTCCAGTTTTGTATTAGATTCTGCTCCACATCTCACTGAATACATCCCGAGGAAACTTGCTAGTGAGTTTTCACCCCAAACCTGTCCCTTCCAGCAGCTTTCTCCTCCTCAGTCAATGGCGTCTTCATTTTCCCAGTTGTTTTGGATAGAGACGTTCCTTCACCGTCAATTTTTTCTTCTTCCCTTCTGCTTCCCAGTGTTCTGGGCTTCTCTCGCATGTTGCTCGTTGATTCTGCACCATCTGTCCTAGAGGCCCTAGACCTCCATTTGCCCCTTTCTCCTCGCTGCCGCAGCGTCTTCTTCCTGCTGAGCTCCCGTGTGGTCTGTTCTGCTGCTTAATTCTGCTCTCACCCCATGTCATGGCTCTGTCTTTCTGTGATCGAGTCTTTCTCTGCTTGGCTGCAGAGACCATTCATTTACTCTTCAGAAAATCCAATGATTAGCCTGGGAAGAGATGCTTCATGCAGGGACACTTATATTGTACTGCTTCCTATTCCCAGGGAATGAAGAATATTAACCATCCCACTCTCTCTGGTGTATTGTATAAACAGCATCCATGATATCATTGAGTTCCACAGTCTTTCCCACTGACTGTTACCACCAGCCATGCTCATGGGACTTTCCTGGTGGCTCAACAGTGAAGAATCTGCCTGCAATGTGGGAGACCCAGTTTCAATGCCTGAGTTGGGAAGATCCCCTGGAGAATGGAGTGGCTACCCACGCCGGTGTTCTTACATGGGGGATTTCATGGACAGAGGAGCCTAGCAGGCTACCGTCCATGGGGTCACAGAGTCGGAAACAACTGAACCACTTTCATTTTCACGCTCATGGTTCTCACAGGGTCAGGAATCCCCATAGTTGTGGGAAAAACTAACCCATGGAGTGGTCTACATCTCAGCAGATTTGTCACTTTATCTCTAGCGTTTATTTTTATTGAAGTATAGTTGAGGTACAACATGATGTTAGTTTCAGCTGGACAGCATAGTGGTTCAGTATTTTGTGGATGATACTCCATCATAGGTTATGGGATAATGGCTGAAATTCCCTGTGCTATACAGTGTATCTTTCTTGCTTATCTATTTTATACGTAGTAGTTTGTATTTGTTAGTCTCACACCCTTAATTTGTCCCTCTCCTTTTCTTTTCCCCTTTGGTAATCACAAGTTTTCTTTATCTATGAGTCTGATTTTGTTTTGCATATACATTCATTTGTATTATTTTTTTAAATTCCGTGTATAAGTGATACCATACATTTTTATTTCCTCAAATTGGAGAGTTGATTTATTAAATATGCCTATAAAAATAGTTGAGTAGAGCCTTTTATAGGCATACTGCCTTTTATAGCACCTTGTTTTACTGTGCTTTGCAGATACCACGTGTTTTTTGTTTTGTTTTGTTTTTTTACAAATCAAAGGTTTGTGGCAGCAGTGAGTCAAACAAGTCTATCAGTGTCACCATTTCTCCAGCAGTATTTGCTCTCTTCATATCTCTGTTTTCCATTTTGGTAATCCTAATAGTATTTCAAATTTTTTCATTATTGTATTTGTGATGTGACTATTATAATTGTTTGGGGAAACTTTGAACTGTACCCATACATGAGACAGGGAACTTAATTGATAAATTGTGTTCTGACTACTCTACTGACCAGCCATTCTCTCATCTCTCTCCCACTGCTCTGGCCTCTTCTATTCACTGAGACACAGCAATATTGAAATTAGGCCAGTAAATAACCCTACAGTGGCCTCTAAGTGGTCAAATAAATGGAAGAGTCTCACGTCTCTCACTTTAAGTCCAAAGCTAGGAATGCTTTCATTAGTGACAAAGGCCAAAACAGGCCAAAAGCTAGGCCTTTTGTGCCAAGCAGTCAGGTTGTAAATGCAGAGGAAAAGTTCTTGAAGGAAATTAGAAGTGCTATAGAAAAATCCTTTGTGAAAGGAAGGGTCAGTCAATACAGCAAAATTCACTGTCATTTTAAGCAGTGGCCACAGCCAAACTAATCTTCAACACTACTACCCTCGTCAGTCAGCATTCATCAGCATGGCCTTCCACCAGCAAAACAATTACAACTTGCTAACAGGTCAGAGAATGTTTAGCGTTTTTTAGCAATAAAATATTTTCTAATAGAGTATATGTATTTTCTTTCCAGACGTAGTGGTATTGTACACTTAACAGACCACATTATTGTGTAAACATGACTTTTATATGCACAAGGAAACCAGAAAAATCCATGTGATTCACTCCATTTCAGTATCCCACTTTATCGTGGTGGTCTGGAACCAAATCTGCAACATCTCCAAAGGATGCCTGCATGTATGGCTTTGCAAGATCTCAATACTGTAGATGGAAAGCCATCAGATATTCTGAATAACTCAATCTAGCCAATGACCAGACTAGAGTCAATTAATTTCATTTAGAGCAGATTGTCAGTGAATACTGTTGTTGTTACCAAGTATATCTTGATATTTCTCAAGTAAGAAACATTTTCGTGTTTTCATGGCAGAATTCATGCAGAAGGTAAGCAGAGGTCAGAATGAATTTACAGTTGGACAGATCAAATGGCTGCTGCATGGGAGTGTGTGTACACCCTGCCCATGCGTACCAGAGCTTCTGTTTAAAAGTGTTCTCCATAGCCAAGTGACCAGAGTTGCTTGATATTAGGAAGCTAGTGGTCAATGAGGCTTGCTGAGAAGCAGATTGAGGCTCCCACCCCAGGCCTGGCCCTGGTCAGCCTGTTGTCCTGTCTGCCTTTGGCCACCTTGTTGCCTCTTAGGGCTTGCGTTCACAGAGGGAAGGGTGGTGCTTACTTCCTGTAGATTCTCTAATGAAAGACAAGAAAGAAGTGTGAACTTGCCACTCCTGAAGGTTTGTTATCCATGCCGTTCTAGGATTCTAATAGCTACTCACTGTGAAGTCCCTTATTTTGGTTGCCAGAATGATGGTGAGCTGGGTAAGTCTGTGTTGGCTCCTCAGGTGCAGAAAAGTGCCTCCCTTTTGCACCCAAGGCCTGCTTTGATAGAGACTGGGCTGGTCTGGGTGTGGGGGGTAAGTTTGGCCAAGGAATAGAACAGGTAATTGAAATAACCTTGAAGCCATCAACTTGGAAAGTGCATTTAATGGTTGGATTTAAAATGGCAAAAGAAGGCTTTTGTGAAATAATTCAAACCTAGCCTAAGCACCTATCTATTTTTAAAACCATTGAACTGGGTAAGAAGTAAAATATCCCAGGCTTTTGTCTGAATGAAAGAACAACTAAATCATCTCTTTCTCTACATTGAGACCCCTGAAGAGTGTGAAGCTGCCTGGCACACGGAGTGTTTAAAATATCTCACTCTGGCCTCATCAGTGATGGCTGTGCATTGGCCTGGCATTGATGTCTGCTCAGGATTCAGTTCTTCTGTGAATTATGCAGGGCAGACAGCGTAGCTCTCTTGTTATGGGGAAATGGAAGCAGAGTGGCCAGTTGCCGTCTCCTAGGGATGGGTCTGGGCCTATAAGCCAAGTCTTCTGGTACAGACGTGGTGCAGTTTGGCTGTGAGAAGCACCCCCAGAGGGCAGAGGTGCTTCTTCTCTGCCCAGGAGCTGCTGGGGAGCGAGCCCTGTGATTGAGGGTACTGACAGGTATCTACAGGAGACAGCAGTGGGTGTTCTGCCTCTCACCTGGAGGACATTCACCTGGGAAATTCCTCTCCCCCTTGGGAATATCCAACGGCTTCCCCAGTCCCTCAGACGGTAGAGAATCTCTGTAATGCAGGAGACGCAGGTTCAATCCCTGGGTCAGGAAGATCCCCTGGAGGAGGACATGGCAACCCACTCCAGTATTCTTGCCTGGAGAATCCCATGAACAGAGGAGCCTGGTGAGCTATATAGTCCATGGGGTTGCAAAGAGTTGGACACAACTGACTAACACTTGGAAAAACCCAAAGTAGGGAGCAGCCTGAGAAGGAGCCTTGGAGAACACCTGTAGCTCCTCCTTCTAGGAGGCTCTCCTTGCCCCGCTGTGGTAACTCCAAGACTGTGTGTTGCTGTATTATTCTAAATTTTTCAAGTTGTTTTTTAATTTGTAGTTTTGTCCAAAGCCTTCTCTTTAATTGCCATTTTATTCTTTTTCGATTTTTAAAGCTGATTCAGAGTCTAACTTTTTTTTGGCCAGTTATCATGAATGTCACAGTTTGTCCCTTTGTGTTTTCCAGATACTTTAAGTGAGAGTCCACAAATCTCCTGGGAAAATGGTGGCTCTGTCCTTAAAGATTTGTGTCCGCCACTGCAATGTGGTGAAGACCATGCAGTTTGAGCCATCAACGGCTGTGTACGATGCGTGTCGAGTCATTCGAGAAAGGGTACCCGAGGCGCAAACTGGCCAAGGTAGGTCATTGGTTATTTTCTGGCTGCTTGAAGTGTGTATGTATGTTTTACCCTTGGTAGCTAAGGAAACAGAGGCTCTGCATGTGTGCACAGGTCAGCTAGTGTATATGTTTCAAATGAAATTCTTATCCTAGACCTTACTTGCCTTGTATGTAAAACTTGTAATGACATCATTGTAGTTCTGCCAGTGAACCAGCACCATCATCATGTCCTGTTCATACTTCAGCAACGTGTTCCGCAGTTTACAAATCACTTTTTGGTACAAAGGCCTACAGAGCACAGATGACGTTGCTCTGACAGTTATTGCTTTTGTGTATCCCGAGCCCTGTTTCCCACTAGTTTCTACTGCCAGAAGCCTGAAGAAGACTGAAACTGCCATCAGGACCCGGGGCAAGCATCATATTTCAAGTACTTTGCAGGGGCTTCTAACCTGTATCTCAAACCTTAAAAAAAATCATGATACATGTTTTGTTTAATGTTTGGTTAAACCACTGACCACAGTTAATCTGAGTTTAAACAAGTCAGTCATACAAGTTTATTTTCCATTTCCCTTTGTCTTCTCTCTACATTTCCTTCCTTTATTTAGTGTTTGACTGATGCATAAGAAATTGAGGTTACTCCTGAATTCATAAGCCTTTAGTGTGAAAATGGATTAAAACTTTCCTTAAAAATTGGATTCATAAAAATCGAACATTCAAAGACAGTTGTTGTTAGGCACGGTTCTTCTTGAAAAGTTCTGTTACTCACAAAACCACAAATCTTTTGGTCTAAAAGCAATGGCTGTATTTTTCAAAACACTGTTATTTCTAGATTACCCAAAAAAATAAAATAAAATTTGCCCAGGTTCCCAAGTTCTGGTTATCCAATCATATCTAATGTTTTTACTTTTCTGTTACTGTTTATTCTCAGACTTTTTAAAACTTTGTTTGAGTTGGATTGCTATAAAGCTCTGGTGAAGATACAAACCTTTATAGATCTTGAAGTTGTTTTTCTAAGAAACAATAGGAGCTCTGGCCCTCATCTGGGTCTCTGAGGTTTCCATGAATCACATTTAGGAAGAGGCAAATCTTGAGACAGAAAATGATAGCGCTTTCCATCTTGTACTGCCTCCACCATCTTCTACTTCCTGGGTTACATTAAGGGATTTCTGTGAAGGACACAGGGTTTAACCCTCCAACTTTACTCGTAATTTGATGGTATGGGGAACAGAGACTTCACCTCATGGGGAACACTCCTTTTTATTTTGTAATGCCCTGTGGGGGTGATGGAAGGATTATGCCAAGTATAAAGTCTCCATCAGCCCCTCTTTACCTAAGTGGCCTTGGACTCGAGTGATTATTTCCATAGTCTCTCATGAGTTCTTGGCCTGACTTTTAAAGCACGTGGTAGGAAACAAAAGCCCAGTTCAGTTAACAAGAAATTTCGACTGCTTTGTTTCTGGTGTTTCCCTAAAGTTTAGACACACCTACTGCCCGCTGGTTTTAAGAAACCTGAACCTCATCTGTGGGTGTTGGTTTTGCAGCTCAGCTCTTATTTTTCTCAATCTGTTTTAGTCCCAGTGGCTGCTCATGTTTTGAGAATGAAGTATTTCTCTGGTGAAGGAGACCGCCTCCCCCACCCCCTGCCTTCCATCCTGCCAAGTCAGCAGATTCAAGGGCCTGGAAGTCAGTGATGGGTTCATCATCACTTTACCTTTTATTTTTCCTTCTGTTTTTCCTCCAGCTTCTGACTATGGGCTATTTCTCTCGGATGAAGACCCTCGGAAAGGAATTTGGCTGGAAGCGGGCAGAACACTGGATTACTACATGTTGCGAAATGGGGTATGCTATTGATCTTCCTTTGATTTTTTAACACTTTGTCTCTAGGCCTTCCATAGAAGCCAACATGGTTATGCTTCAAAGAAAAGGAGAGAATAAAAAATCTATTTTTATTTCAGAGCCTCGTTTAATAGTTTTGACATAATGTACTTTGTAAAGTTTGTCCAGGTTAGATAGGAAATATCAACAGTCCAAATTCTTGAAACTTCACAGAGTAATTAAAGCAGCATGAGACTATGATTTTAAGCTATTTCTACGTGCCATTTTTGGACCTCGGTAGTTATGAAATAGAGCATCTTCCCCTAAGTATGTAGGAAGTGCCCTGGTGACTGATGATAGAAAGGAAGGATCCAGAGGGAACAACATAGTTGTTCGTTCTATCTATCAAGCTATCAATCTATCTATCGATCCTAAAGGTTGTCAGAGGTTAAATCATAACCAGTGATTTGCTTTTATAAAAAGTTCATATGAGATGTATTTAATCACTATCAGTAATATTAACAACAAAAATGGTTGTGTTGTGGAAGTAGGAAGAAATAATGAGTAAAAAGTAATGAGTAACAGGAAACCATATTCAGTATCATGTAATAACATAATGGAAGATGCTCTGAAAAAATGTACGTTTGTAACTGAATCACTTTGCTGTATACCTGAAACACACACAATGTGTAAATCAAATGTGCTTCAATTTTAAAAAACATGTGTTATATTCTGTTCAACTTAACTTCTGAGAATACTGGATTTTGATGTACAGAATAGATGTATCAGATTAGTCAATATTCCATAAATGAGAGTGAAGTATGAGGTGCCAGTTAATTTTCCTTCCATAGTTCTATTTTTAAGAAGTGTAGTAAAAGAGAAATCTCTTATTTAGACATAACTCTCAAACTTATTACCTTTTTGATCTTGCCATTATTGTGAAAACCACTTTTATGGTGATATACCGTTACCTGAAGAATTATGGGGGCATTATTTATGTCCTTTATGACATATGTATACACACACACACACACATATATATATATATAAAATCGCTTATTACTGTGTAAGAGATCATTGGAGAAGCACAATCTTTTCAAAAAACAAGTAGGCATTTTCCTTTGCTAATTTTCATTACAGCAGATCATTCTCAGCCTTTCAGAAGGACATATGCTACTTTGACTTTATAGAGGTTAGTTTTCAGTAACTGTGAGCTATAAGTAGTACTTCTGGGGGTGCAATTTTACTATCAGATTTTAAAAAATCTTTATGTAAGCAGTTTAGCACTGGAGATTCTGTGTTAGTGGCAAAAATCTTGTGAAAAATTAGAAGGAAAGAATCAGAGGGAGCTAGAGAAAATTCTTTTATTAAAGAGAAGTGTCCAAGTTTATTATCTAATTTCCCATGCAACATGAAATGTTTGTATGATTTTGCTCTAGGATATTTTGGAATATAAAAAGAAACAGAGACCTCAGAAAATCCGGATGCTCGATGGATCCGTGAAAACAGTGATGGTGGACGACTCCAAGACAGTCGGGGAACTCCTGGTTACTATCTGCAGCAGGATAGGTGAGCATTCACATGCCAAGCTTCTGGATGTTGCTTTGTTTTTAATAACATGCCTCTCCTTTTTTCACCCACTTTGGGTGTCTCAGCAATTTTGAACATATCGTAACACATTGACTTTGGTGCAATCCCAAGAGAGTGTGTTCATTTTCCTGATACACAAACCAGCTAACTGGTATTGCAAACACTTAAGCATCTCTCTGAGTCACAAGTGAGAGCTTTTATTTCCCTTTCAAAATAAAATGAATTCTCAAATTGAAAATAATGTTTTTTGAAATCGTATGGTTCAGGCTCCCACCCATGGCTGGAAGATTCTGTCTAAGCATCACTGACCTCCATTACCTCCTGAAGACTCATGGGGACAGCCTATACAATCATATTAGACATTGCCCCCCACCTTGCTTCTATTCGTCTGCTCAAAGAACAAGTCTGTCTCCTTTCTGTTGGGTTGGCCAAAATGTTTGTTTGGTTTTTTGGTAACATCTTACAGATGTTGCAATATATGAACCCTCTTGAATATTTGAAGAAAGCTGGCCTTTCCTGTCTTATTTTTCTCGACATGAAAATGAAGCCCAGGTCCTTCAGACCCTGCTTGTTTGACATTGTCTTACGTTCCTCTGTTTTATGTCTTATTCTTATTACACAAAAATTACTCAGGAGACCTGAACATGACATTTGAATGTGACTTAACTAGTGGAGGGCCCTCCTTTGTGGCCAGTTACTTGATGTATGCTCCCTGGAGTGGCCCTGACCTTCCACCATGTCCTTCATTCCCAGGGACTGCTTGGAGTATTGCAGGCCCCAGGATGAAAGGGACTCATGGCAATGTAGTCACTAATCTAATTGATAAACTCATTGATAATTTTAGGAATTACAAACTATGAAGAATACTCTTTAATCCAAGAAACAATTGAAGAAAAGAAAGAAGAAGGGACGGGTACACTAAAAAAAGACAGGACGCTGTTACGAGACGAGAGGAAGATGGAGAAGCTGAAGGCCAAGCTTCACACGGATGACGACTGTGAGTGTCCAGGGAGGAAGTATGATGTGGGCACATGGGCTGCCCAGCCTCTCTCCTCTCCCATAATTTGTATGATCCAGAACAGGGGTCTTTGTTCCTTTGTTTTATTTCATCTATGAACATTTGGGTGTATGTTGCTAAAAGAAAAAGACCCTTAAGGGGGAAAAATTGATAATAGCATTTCACATCTGAAAGGTAATCTCTTAATGTCAAATATATGCATCATGTTCACATTTTCTCCATTGCCTTCTAAAAAAAACTTTTTTGTTAGCAGTTTGAACTAGGGTCCAAATAAAGCTTGGATGATAGGCTGCTTAACTCTTTTAGTCCCAAGGCTTTCTCTCCATCTCTCTTTTTTATTTTTTGCCTTGTAATTATTGAGGGGAAAAACCTGGATTGTTACTTGTATAAAATTTTCTATATTCTGGATTTTGTTAGATGCCTGTGGTGTCATCTAACATGTTCATATGTCCCTTTTAATTCCTGAGTTCTGGAGGCTTTCAGATATGTGGATCTGTGTTTAAGAATAGCGACTCCTATGTGGTACGTCCATTGGGAAGCTGAATTTGATTGTCTCCTTTTTGTGACGTTAACAGCTTTGGATGACTATCGCCTTGATCCATTATTTCCTTAGGGGTTACAGAATAGCAATATAATTCCACCACAGGAAAATCCTTTTCTACTGACTACAGAGTTAATATGCAGAAAAACAAGTATGTGTACACTCTGTGTCCCCAAAGCCTGTTTTTTGTGCACTGGCTGACAACCCCCAGACCCCACCTTCTCAGAAGGATCTTACTTTATGCACATTCACTCAGACCTTCCCAACTTCTTACTTTCTTTCATTGTTCTTTCTCTTGCTATTGCATTGGGAAGATGTCATCCTAGTCCTTATGTTCGTTGGTCTTCAGTGGGGCTTTCATTTCCTCTGACCCTTTCTCCAGTCTCTCTCTTTTTTTTCTTTTTGCCTCATTCAATTTCCAGTTGCATGCTTCTTTCCAAGTGAGACCTTGGTAGAGAAATCCTGAGGATTATACTGTGCATGATGCACTCCCAGCTAGTGTGGGAGAGGAGGTCCATTCGATACATTCCCTGTGCTAAACTCAACTCTTGTTAATAAATACTTGCTCTCAGTATGTGTGTGTGCATTAAACCTGGGGAGGACTGTAGGAATGAGAGCTGTGGGAAGAATAGAGGAATGATCCATCCCCATGTATCTAGGTATCAGGCCAGTATTTTCTAACTGAGTGAGATTACGGGTGGGCCATGTGCAGGGTTCTACTCTCCCCTACCCCTCAGTGTCCTGTCCTCTCCTGGTCCCAATTACTTCCACTTTCTTCCTCTTTTCTGCTTAAGGTCAAGGGTAGTAACTCATGCTCAGAGTTTATAAATTATTTCACCTGATCAGAGTAAAGACCAGTCTTGACTTAAAAGAAAATGCAGACTTGATTGTCTTGGCTTAAAGCACTGTTTTCCTTGTTTCTTCCTCCACCCAAGGAATGGGCATATTATAAATTCATTCATTGTGGGGTTTTACTAATTTAGGAATAGCTGTGAACTTCTCTGTCATTTGCTTTTTCATATGTCATGTAGTATGCATCCAATTACTTGGCCAAGTTAAAGAGTTCAGATTTAATCTAAGAAGCAGCTATAACTGAATATGAGCATTTAAAAAATCCACATCTGCCTCATGCTGCTGTTTTGCTTAATCCTTTTGAACTAAGAGGAAAAGTAGACACAGTTCTTTCATATGTTATCTTGCATTGCAGTAAATTGGCTGGATCACAGCCGAACATTCAGAGAACAAGGAGTAGATGAAAATGAAACACTGCTGCTTAGACGGAAGTTCTTTTACTCTGATCAGAATGTGGACTCGAGAGACCCCGTGCAGCTGAACTTGCTCTATGTTCAGGTACAGTATCGAATGCTCAGACCCTGAGGTTGGGGAGCCTTCCAGAGCTCCGGCTGGGGCTGGTGGAGGACAGGAACTAGGCTCTGGTTCTCGCCGTGTCTTGGCATCCTCTTTTCAATCATGTGGAGTGGTGGTGCAGGTTGATGCCCACTGTGAGCTGCCAGCCATCCTGAGAGGGGCCTTGGTTGGCCTCCCAGCGGGGGCCCTGGTAGCCACTGCTGTCTCTCTCTGTCTCCTGGCTTTGCCGGACATACCTGGCTCACCATTCACATATACTATCGCCTTCTTAGCTCACATCTAGAAAACAAGGATGGATATTGGTCAGAAAATCAGTATTTCTCATTAACTGAAAGATATTCTCTCAATAACATTTTGTATTTTTACCATTAACCAATTGTTTAAACTCAGATGAGTCATTCAATTTATCTGAGTTGCAGTTACTCAGTACGTTAAGGTGTGGGTTTTCACTAGACAGTCCTGAAGACTTCTTTTGGCTCAAGGAAAACATCTTCCTTCCTCTCTTACTTCTTTCATTTTTCCCTGTATTCCTTCCCTTTCCTCTCCTTTTACTTATCAACGTATTGAATCATAGAAATAATGTGGGAGGGGGAGGGTCAGCAAAATGCAGCCACGGTGTCACCTGTATTTATAAATATTAAAGTTTTATTGGAACCATATCTCATTCGTTTACGTACTGCACATTGGTAAATCCCCTTCTTTATCACATTATTGTCTATGTATTGTCAGTGGCAGCACTCATATTCTGACGGCAGATTTTCAGTAGAGACAGAGACCCATGGCCCAGAAGATGTAATTTGTTCACTCTCTGACATTTTACAGGAAAATTTTGCTGGCCCCCAAGTTAGTGGATGGAGGAAGGGCTTGGAGAAATGAGGCTGGTAGGCCAGAAGGGAGAGAGATATCCAGACAATAACAACATGCTTGGTTTAAGGCTCAGGGCCATAGGTCAGAGTGTACATCTAAGANATAACAACATGCTTGGTTTAAGGCTCAGGGCCATAGGTCAGAGTGTACATCTAAGAGTGCTCTGGGGGTCATTTAACTAGAGAAAGGAAAGGTAGAAAGAAAAGGAATAAATAGCAACACAAGTGAGGGGTCAGAAAACAGGAGAAAGACTTCAAGTGCAGTGCCTTCCTGATTCCAGGACTGTGTATTTGCTTATCATTTCACCTAGACGTCTGCAGTACTAAGTTCTTGTCTGTTCTGTTTATCTTGGGATGAGGATTGGGTTGATTTTACTTCTAGGTAATTTTTCTGTTAACTTTATCACTTAGGGTCATAAAAATATATTGCATTTCTGTCCCCTGTGAATCTGGTCATTATACAAGGATTTCCCTTTGCCCCTTTATTTTTCACAATCACTTCTACCTCCCTAGATTACACTCAAGCTTTAGTTTTAATATACTGGACATTGCTGATGCCTTCCATCCATAGGCCATTTGGGCACGGACTTGTTTTCCCTTTGCGTTAATTCTGCAGCGCTGCAGTCGCTCACAGCGTCCTGAATGAATGCCTCAGTCTGGCTTGGCTGGCACCCTTCCCGTCATTCCACAGAGAGGGTAGGCTTGGGTGCCAGGAACATGGCACTGGAGAAATTGTGTTGGTCCCCCCAAGCTCCTGATGCTTTTTGCTTCCTCTTGTGTTGCAGGCTCGGGATGATATCCTGAACGGCTCCCACCCTGTCTCCTTCGAGAAAGCATGTGAGTTTGGTGGATTTCAAGCCCAGATTCAATTTGGACCTCATGTGGAGCATAAACACAAGCCTGGATTCTTAGAGTAAATGACCATTTGGTTTTCTTTTTTCTCTTGTTTTCACTATTTATTTTTGAGCTTGTTATGCAACATACACACCTTAGTTTTGGTCAGTTGTGAGACTGTTAGCTTTTACTTGATTCAATATATGATGACATTTGTGGGTCTTGGAGAAAGCAAGGGGCCTAGAAATTCAGTGTTGGGATGAGTATGAAGATGGCTTGTTCCAGTTTTGGGCAGGGTATGTTTTCCTCTGGACCACAGGGTCTGCGGTACCCCTGCAAGCTATTGTCTAAGGCAGTGGTCCCTAGCCTTTTGGCACCTGGGGCCAGTTTCATGGAAGATAATTTTCCCAGGAACAGAGTGGTGGAGGATGGCTTCTGGATGATTCAAACACTTTATATTTACTGTGTATTTTATTTCTATTATATTACATTGTGATATATGAGAATTTAATATAAGAATCAGCCATTGCTGATCTGACAGGAGATGGAGCTCAGAAGGTAATGGCAGCCATAGGGAGCAGCTATAAATACAGATGAAGCTTTGCCCACTCAATGCCCACCTCCTGCTATGCAGCCCAGTTCCTAACAGGCCATGGACCAGTACCAGAGTTTGGGGACCCCTGATCCAGGATATCTCTGCAATTGAGTTACTCGCTTTTCCCATCTTCTGAAATCTCTGCTCTTTAGAACATTACTTCTTCATATGGGGCAGCATTTTGTCATATTGCATTTCTTTTAGAGACTCCAGTATTAGGAAAACAGAGTATAAAAGAGAGAGTTTCACATCATTTAGTATAATTTAGTGAAATTGTCACTACTCTGAAAAAGTGTGACATTAATATATATATATTTTTAAATACTGGCTCTACTCTTCCCACCCATCAGGTCTTTGGTTTGCTTTTATGAAATGATGGGGGTGATTTTCCTGGCTCAATATTTATGGGTTCAAGAGGAAGCTAACCCTCCAGATTCATCACGGCCCCACTGAAATGGGCTTTAGGACTGGGTTTCCTAGAGATGTCCAGCAGACAAGCCTCACCGTTTGTAGGCAGCTGTTTGTCAGAGGTCATCTTCCCTCTGCTCTGCCGTGGGCTTCTCCAGGGATTTTGTCTCTTTCTTTCTCTGATAATATTTCTTTCCTTTATCTGGTTTCCCCCCCTTTTTCTCTCTCTCTTCCACTTCCTCTTAGATCCGAGGCAATATTTGGCTAAGCCAAAAATATCACTACAGGAAGTCTTAACCTGGTCAAAATCATGCTGTCACCTAGAGTGCAGCTTGTAGAGGCTTTGCAAATGGGGATCTGACAGGAATGCTGACTGGGCTGGGTAGGCGTCATCTTTTCTGTAGGATACACCAATGTGATGTGCATTAAATAGGTCATTCATCATGTTGTATCTGAGTGTATTGAAAGGAGACAATAACAACTGCTTATTTGGCCCCTGACCTCACTTTTGCTTTGGTGGAAAGTAATTGGGACCAGCAAGTGCCCTGAGGTCAAAAGGAAATCAGACTTCTCTCCTGGTGGCAGAGAATGCCTGGGCCATGTGCTGTTGGGTCTAAACTGAGTTGTTATTTAAAAAAAAAAAAAGAAAACTCTCTCCTTGGATTGACGAATCCCAGGGAGCCCTTCCAAAGTGATGCTTTGTCTTACAGTATTCCATATAGTGACCTTGAGTCTGAGACTAGCTCTAAGCAGGTCCTGTCATTGACTTTGTTCTGCATCCTCCAAATGAGTCATTTGGCCAAGTTTCTCAGGGCCACTTGTATCCAGTTGGTCTGACTTCCTTCCTGCAGGAGCCTTGGAAATGTGCCTTTCTCTGTTCTTATACCCCAGATGCCTTCCAGAAAACCATGTGCACGTGAGCTTTTAGTTACTCCCACCTTCGGTCCCTCAGATACGTTTGGTATCATAAACTATGGATTATGGCCACGGAAACTGAGAACACAAAAAACTAATTAAGCCCTGGAGGGAGGAAATGTACTTTGTTTGTTTGAGTGACTGACGAAGCAAGGGAGAAAATAAAGAGATCAATGAACCAAAAAGTTTTACATGTTTAGTTTTTAAGCTTTCATACCTGTGAGCCTGTGTGGCCCTGATCAGAAGGTGATCCAAATTCAGCCTTTCACTGGGTGCCTGAACTGATGCTACCCTGGTCATTTTATTTACGCCTTTTCTCTGGAGCTTTTGGACAGATAATTCTCAGGGCCTCCCTGTCAATTGAACAAGCAGTATATTTTATGCTGTGGATGCAGAAGCAGCAGCAGAGAGGAGAAGTGGCTTGTTCACGGTTACATAGACTTTTTCTGCAGGTAGCTTCTGACTCCTCACATTGGGATTTACATTTTTTACAAACAGATGTCTACTTGGAGGGCAAAGTTGCCCCCTTCCCTGGCCTCCCAGTATGCAGCAAGATTAGGAAAGTACTTTAAAATGTGATCACAGGGTTCTTTGGTCTCTTTGCTCTGTTACTAGTTGTGCCTATTACATCCCAGTGAGTATCATCACACCACCAACTGCTTGTGTGTGGATTACATGCAGCTTGAGAACACTGGTGTTGCTTATACACTGTCTCCTGGGACTTAAGGACTATCAAATGCCGCGCACCTACACTCTATTAAAGATGTACCTTCTCTTAATAGTGTGAGGTCACCAAGGTTAAGCAATTGTGTTCAACTTTCTTGTTTCTGAGATTATGGTATAGAGCTCAGGCCTCTAGTGGTATGTGTATCCTTACTCAGGTTCCAGATTAAAACAAGCTTATTGTGCCTCATAGAAATTATTTTTCTTATGAATTTGATTTACTCTTTAATTAGGCCAAATTTAGTCTAGGTAATGAGGCATTTTTGTTTAATGTAGATGTTTAATTGTGTATATTATTGCACATACATTACAGGTAAAAACTTGCCTGGGAATGTTCATCTCCTTTTAAATAAAACAGCGAGATCACAGTTCCCTGACTGTGTGTTGGATAGTCTGAGACCTTTCAGGGTTAGGTTCCCTGGGCTGTCCCTGGTGACTGTGACTGAACCATGTCTGCTAGTCATTGTTTTTCACCATCTTGCTTTCATATATACTGCTGGCTTTGACCAATTCACAATTTAAAAAAAAAAAAAATAGAAGATTGGCCTTGTCACAGAGCCTGGTTGAAGATAAAGCCAGGCAGAGATTTTAGTCACATAACTTTTGGGTAAGGTACATGGAAGTATGTTTAATGACTTTAATTCCCTTTTTAAAAATTTTTAACTATAAAATTAATTTTCTTTTAATTTTTTGAAAATTTATGTAGCACTTGTGCCCAAAGTCAGCATACTATGGACCTTTAAAAAAAAATACTTTATTGAGGAATAATTGGGAATAATTGACAACTATGTATATTTTAAAGTGTGCAACTTGATGATAATGTCCGTATACATATAGAATGATTACCAAGTTCGAAATAACAAACACATCCATCACCTCACATTGTGTGTGTCTGTGTGTGTGTGTGTTGAGAATGCTTATCGACTCAGTGACTTTTAAGTAAACTATACCATGTTATTAACTACAGTTGTAATGCTGTGTGCTAGATTCGTACTGTAAATTTCATACACTTTGACCTGTATTACCCTGTTTACCTCTCTCCCCCAGCCCTTGCAACCACCATTTCTATCTTCTGTTTCTGTGAGAATGGCTTAAGAAAGAACTCTGTATGTAAGTCATACCATATAGTTTTGGTCATTCTCTGTCTGGCTTATATCACTTAACATATTGCTCTCTGAGTTCACCTGTGTTGTCACAAATGGCAGGGTTTCCTTTTCTCTTATGGTGGAAAATATTTCATTGTAAATATCTACCACACATGTTCTTTACCCATTCATCTATCAAGGGACATTTAAGTTGTCTCCCTATCTTGGCTATTCTGAATAATACTGCAATGAACATGGGTTGCAGACCCTGATTTCAGTTTCTTTGGATATAGACCAATGAGTGAGATTGTTGGATCATACAGTAGTTACTATGGACCTTTTAATGAGTTTTTTTTTTAACCTTTATTAAAACCCTTTAATGATTTCTGTACTCAGTAGCACCTTAGTGAAGGTACTTATTGAGAAAAATGAAAATCAGCGACTAAATGATTCTCAGAGTTCTCAGGGATTTAAGGATTATTTAGTGTTCCCCATCTGCTCTATTGTTGGGAAAATGGGTGCAAGAGAAACAGGGGATTTCAGAGACACAAATTTAGTGGAATAATTTAATATACCTTCCTCAGGAAGTGATAAGTAGAACAAAATTAAAATAATGTAAAGAAAATGTTTTAATCAAGAGAAAATAATGAAATAGAAATTTCAGAGAGAATCAACAGAACCTGAAGCTGACTCTTTGAAAAAATTAATAAAATGTGTAAATCTCTGGTAGATTTGGTCAAGTAAAACAAAAGAAGAGAGAGGCAAAAATAAACATTAGTAATGAATTATAGGGACAGAACTTCAGATAAGGATTTTAAAAATTATAAGAAAATGAAATGAAAATTTGAAGCCAAAAGTTGAAGATATAGACNCAAAAGTTGAAGATATAGACAAAAATGGATAATTAGAAAATCTGGATGGATCTATGATCTTGAAAGACATAGTCTTCATAATATAAAATAAGTGAATCAAAAAACAACAAAACAAAAAGTAGGTTCAGTTTGTTTCAGAGAACAGAAAGAGGAAAAAAAAATTTCTTTACCTTACCTTGAAGCTAGCGGAATCAAGATAGCAAAATTGAATTGCATACCAACCAGTAAAATTTTAAACTCAATATGGGTCCTACCTAAGATTCATAAAAAATTAGTAAAGTCCAGCATGACTTGTGTTTACCTATAACTGCAAGTTATAACTGGTTTCTCCAGGAATGCAAAGTTCATTGTTCAATAAATAATTTATTCATGTCTTCTACCTGGTAAGCTCTAGACATTAAGGATACAGCAGTGTAAAACAGTTAAACATTCCTGCCCTGATGGAATTTATATTCTAGTGGAGAGGGAGATAATAAGTAACAAAAAAGTTATGAAATAAGGAAAGGAAAAAGAAACAACTTCAGGATTAGAAAAATGAAACTGTTAGTTGCAAGTGATAGGTTTATCTACATAGATAATTCACTCAATCTGTGGAGAAATTTATCAGAACTGTTAAGAGAAAGCATCCTCTGGAAGAAAGATCAGCCTATTAAAGCAGCTTATCATCACCTAGAAGCTTATCATCACCTAGATCGAGACAACCATGGTATTCATCTGTAGGACTGAAAAATAAATATATAGGTATATTTGTATGTGTGAAAATACGTGGAAGGCTCATAACTAATCCCAATTTCTTAGAAAGCTATAGTAATTGAAATACTCTATTATTA